GCATGTGTGTTATGTGTTTCTTGGTTCGTCTTGATATGGGGATTACTTATGTTAAGAACTATATGTATTATGTAATTTGTGCACCCCGATTTTTATTGCACATAACACTGCTTTCGGCAACTTGTTAAAATACTAAACTTCACTCAATTGCGGTTTTTGTTTTGTCATTGGCGATTAATCCTGAGCCAATGGGCCGGTTTTTATATAAACAACTGTAGTAGTAGTTATATATCAAGAAATTGTAGTAGGATGATTGTACTGATAAAATTACTTCTGGGGATTTATTGTTGATTACTTTAGCACATTTGGCTTCTTCATTGCTGAAGTACAATTGTTTTTTCAGAATCAGTAAGAGAAATTGAGCGGTCTCTAGGTGTCCTGTTAAATGAATATGCCATAACTTTCAAGGATTGTTTTTGTTTTGTTTCTTTCTTTTTCGACAAGAATGAAAAGACCGGCTTGGGTTTTTTTTTCATCCTCGAAGAATTAGCAACAATATGGGATGCAACTAAAAAGGAATGCTAGAATATTCCAAGGTAGTCTTCCTCTGTCCTTGCATTGAGATTTTAAAAGAGGTGCATAAAGCTCAATCGACTACTATTTTATGGTTTGGATTCTAAACAGTATCATCTTAAAAAGTAAATTGCCCATTTGTATAAATTTCAAGATATCATTATCATTGATAGAGCTGATTCAAAAGTTGTAGTGTTCGTTTGACCTTAAGGTGGTATCTTCTCTCAATGGACATTTAACGAAGGTAAATTGTTGCATAATATGAATATTTCATTTCATGTTCCTTCTAATAAATTCATTGAATGGGTTTCCATGATTTTTGGATCATAATTTTCCTTACATAGGTTATGAGTGTCAAATTTGCAGTTGAGAGTGAAGTTGTTGTTAGTGGCTCACGGATAAGGTAAATCAGTTCCCCCATTAAGATTTTCATTTTTGTTTGCATTGCTTATATGATCATGGAAAACCATTGTGTTTATATTCCTGTTCTGTTTCCCTGATTTACTTTGAATTATGTCGTAAAAAATAATGGCTCTGTGATATAGTGCTTCACTAGTTCTAACACTTAAAGAAAACGTTGGTACTTGAGGAGGGCTATCTATTTGGAAACAAGCCACTTTCCTTGAAATTTGTACTGTGTTGGACATTTTTTATACTTGATATTTGGACCATATGATTCTGAACATGTTTTCATCAGCATGCAAGATGGCAAGCTTGGATCTTTCCTGATGCAGCCAGCAAAAACCTTCACTTTGGAACTATTAGTAAGTTGCTAATGTCATGCTTCAAAAGTTTGTCCGTGTTTTTGTACAAAGTTGTCTGCATCTTTTCCCAGTTTCATTTGAATTATATATAACTTTACCATGTATGCAAATGTGCGTATGTTATATTGGTTTTACGTCAATACTCATTAGATTATAGCATCAGGTTGACCAACAATGTTTCTTTTTTAAGGTTTATCATAAAAATTATTTTGAATGAAAAGTCTTTATTTTGTTAGGTTTCGAAGTTTTCTAAGGTTGTTCCATTAGAATCAAACATTAAAGAGAACATCATTACCTAATATTCTTGATTAGTCTCCAAATATATCTTGTAGTAATTTTTAATTCCGTTCTTGTATCCAGTTTCAAGACCACAGGCCCCCAGAAAAGAGGCAGTCGAAGCTCGTGATGTTGTTGCAGTCAAATTCCGAATTGAATGTTCTCATTGTCAATTCAATTGACTTTGCAAGCAGTTTTATGCTATTGTATAAAGATTAATAATCATTGATTACAATTAATTAGTTTATCATCTGTACAAACTATCAGTCAATTTTATTTTATCATACGATTGTACAGTTATTTGGTTTTTGCTCCTCCTAGCTTACGATTCAATTCTTTTCACTTGTTAAATTTGGTCAATAATATGAATAAAATAAAAAACTATTGCAGCAGCTGTTTAAATATTTTAGCAACGAATTTTTATGCAATAATATGGCCACTAAATCATATTAAGCTGAGCAACTATTGGAACCATATAAAACTTATTACGACCAATTCCTTGGTTGTTAATTGAATATTCTTTACCGACCTAAACAACGTGGTCACTGTTTGTATACCTATAGCAACCATTTTCATATTATTGTGACCATATTTTTTTACATTAGCGAGTCAAATTTGGACGCTAATGACCATATATTTAATGACCATTATTGGGTGGTCACTAAATAGGTGACTTTTAGCGTCCAACTTGTTTGTTCGTCACTAACTACTTTTAGTAGCCACCCTGTTGTGACCACAAGTGACCAAGTCTAATTTGGTCGCTATAAGTTTTAGCGACCGCTTTCTTGCTTTTACCAACCACAAATGTTGGTCCCTGAAGCTACTTTTTCTTGTAGTGTATTTCCTTCGCTTTCTGAATTCGATTCCATTATGACTTTATCCGCAGGCCAAGCTATTGTAGAGTTGATTGCATGTGTGATAAGTGACATATGTGATGTAGGCCGCCATAAACATGCTTCAGGACTTTTTGGAACATCCACCCAAACTATCATGGCGTTTGGCCCAAGAGGAATATCATTTATTAATGCATTTGGGTCATCCGAATGTAAACGACCTTCTGCAACCAATTCATCTTTCCCTCTCCTCCAATCAATCAATTTGCATTTGTTCCTTGAGTTACTCTATCAACAATATAATAGGTTCATATTAGTCATAGCTATCTTTTACAAAAATTTCAATTAAAATAAAAACACATTCTTACCGAATTAGGAGATACGTTGTCTCGTTCATTAGACTCTTGCTGAACTTGCAAAATAACGCTCTCAGCAGGCCAAGCTATTATCTTATCCTGAGCGTGTTGAATAAGGCTCATATTAATAGTAGGCCTCCACAAAAAAGCATCTGGTTTTATTAGAATATCAACCAAAACTTTCATTGCATCAGGTCCAAGGGGAATTCCACCGACGAGGCTCCATATCAACCAAAACTTCCATTGGCTCATTGCAGTTTTGATTAACAAATTGATTAGGCTCCATATAGTCTTTATCTAAAAAGTGGGTAGCTCTATATAAATTGAATGCATCGTTGTTGACTATTTCATCTACTTTGTCTTCATTAGTGATGTACTCTCCATGCTCATACCAGTCTTTTCTTTGTTTGTACTTGACTTCCATTCCTCTTGTAACTAAATGTTCAACAACTATACTACCAGATTGATGATTAACATTACGACAATCCATACAAGGGCATAAGATTTTCTCAGGATTTCCCATGTTTTTCATAACTTTTTTCACAAAATCCCATGCTCCTTTCTGATATTCAGGATCAGCTCTAATAACAAAATAATAAGGGCACTGCAAAACAAAAAGTTATAGTTTGAAACTTAAAAGTTATTAGTTTTTATAGTAATTATAGAAGTAATATCTTTACCTGTTAATATGCACCCAATCTTTATGGAATATCATGTTCAAGGTACCACTTACACAACTAAACTTTAAAATCCAAATAAACAAGCAACATATCAGTATTTTGAAAATTAAAGATAAATTATCAACTTAATCAATAACACAAAAAAGAATAACTTCAACTTATTTCTCGCACAATTAAAAAACAAAGTCTTCACATAAGATTGTATTCCACATAACTTCTCAAGTTGGGACCAACTTGAACTTTGATCTCGGATTTGAAGTTCTAAACTTAATAGTTTCCATATAAATGGACCAAGTCACAACAAAATTGAAAAAATAAACTAGAAGAAAACCTGTTTCATAAATACGCTCATCTTATAACGAAGTGCGTAATTGGATTAAACATACGTATATCACAAGTATAGTACAATCCATTATATGCAAATTTCTTAAATGTAACATAACTACGTAATACTAAAGTTGCACACCATAGATACATATACCACATAGTGAGGGCAACACAAAATAAACAAAACATATTGAAAATGTGAAACAACAAGTGGAAAGTTAGAGGAAAATAAAAATGGATCAGCAAGAGTAATTTGTACTGACCTTTAATTACTTGACCACTATGAAGTTCAAATCAATTGAATTTCCCTCTTTCAAAACTGGAACGAATACCAATTATGTGGGTAATATTTCTCTGCAAATACATTTAATATTTATTAGTAATGAGATAATGTAACAAGTTTAAGATATTATGAGGATCACAGCTATTTAACTATACAGATTAGTCATTCTCCAAAAACAAAAAAAATATATTGTCAGTATTCATCAGTAGTACATAACTGTACAATTTATTATAGATAAAAAATTGAAATAAACAACAGGCTTTGCATACAAGAATTAAGGTACTTCAAATTAAATGCTTGTTAAAGGTGAAATGTTAAGACAATAGATTTAACAAGAGTTTTTTTAGAATCGGGATTTTCCTTATACTCTTTAACACATGTTCTCAGATTCAATTCGAAGATAAAAAAGAAAGTCTAAAATATTTTTCTATTGATTTCTTACTCATTACCTAAACAATATGGTGAGTAAGATAAGCAACATGAAATTTATAATATAACTTTATTCCGTACTAATGAGACATGCAAGTATAAGTATGAGACAGTAGAAAAGATATACATTTATTTACACTTATATACTCTTGTATATAGCTATAACAAATGTATATACCTGAAGTACATATAGGTGTTATTTGTAAAACAAATCTTTGAGTCCACCAAACAACTCTCAATCTCCGTCCAGTGATTTTTCCCCTTTCATGCAACCAGTTCGGATAATCACGAAGTATATACTCTTTATATCTTCTCGTGTAATCGAAGAAAACTAAGTAAAAAAATACATACAAAATATAATGGCAATCTTTTTGGAAAATAAAATTTGCAAACAGATATGGTCGATAATTATCAAATTTTCAACCCTTCACGGTGTAATGTCTTTCATGTGATCAAAAATACTAATTAGGTAAATAATACATGAAATTAGCGGCAATTCCAGCATAATACAACAAATAATTTGAAAACTAGATGAAAATCAATGTATCATAATTCGAGAAATTACCTGGTAAGGAAAAATTCTGAATTTTCCCTCGGCCGCGTGCCTATAACAGATCTTAGAGAAAACTCCTTATAGAATAATTACAGAGAAAACTCCTTCGAGAATAACTTTTCTCGGCCGCGTGCCTCTTGTTTTCTTCGTTTGCTGCCTGAACAAGATTCACTTTCGTTTAAGAATTTGAAAGGTTTCACAGAATTGGGGTTTTGTCCGATGAGTTTTGACGGTGGAAGTGGTTTTTTTTATTTTTCTTTTACTTTTTTCTATAAGAATAATTAGGTTTATTATATTTTAGAGGCCCGCGAAACTAAAAGTAAAGTCGCGCTTAAAATTTATTTATCTTATAGCGTTTTATATTTATTGCTCTTACAATAGCGTTTTTTTACGGTGATGAATGAGATTTAAAATTAAAACAACTATGTAATAGCATTCAGTCCTAAAACGCTATGGTAATATGCTATGGAAAAACAGTTTTCTTGTAGTGAAATGAAGAATTATTAAATAATGAAGATTCTATAAATGTTGAATTTGTAGAAAATGAAAATGTTGTGAATGCTGAATTTGTTGAAAATGAGAATACTGGGAATGCGGAATTAGTAGAAAATGAGAATGATGTGAATGAAAATGAAGAAAATAAACACATTGATGAGAATGATGGGAATGAAAATGACCACTTGAAAACAAGCTATGTGTTAGACCTTTTTTGACCCAAGAGTTTGGGATGGTTTGGATACAAAAATGAAAGATTTACTTGTTGAAAAGGGTCCCAAAAAAGAATACGATCTCAAGTTTCATTTGGATAAAGAATCTAGACATTTTTCATATACATATTATGCGCGGATGCTACCAAACGGTGAAATTCGGGATAGAAAATGGTTGGTTTACTCAAAGGAGTTAGATAAATCATTTTGTTTTTGTTGCAAGTTGTTCAAAGTAATGCACACTAGAAGTAATTTAGCAAGCGAGGGGGTTAACGATTGGAAACATTTTGGTGATAAGTTGAAACAACATGAACATAGTATTGAACACCTTACTAATTTGAGAGCTTGTGTTGAATTAGAAATGCGATTAAATAAAAATAAGACAATTGATAAAGAATTGCAAGAACATATTAGAAAAGACACAAACATTGGAAACATGTTATGTTGAGAATAATTGCTGTTGTTAAATGTCTTGCCACACATAATTTGGCATTTCGTGGTACACATGAAAAAATTTATGAAGATATTAATGGTAATTTTTTAGGCATGCTTGAAATGATTGCGGATTTTGATCCAATAATGCAAGAGCATTTTCACCTAATTCGTAATAAAAAGATACATTATCACTATCTCAGTCATAAAATTAAAGATGAGTTGATATCTATCTTATCTCCTAAGGTGAAAACTGCAATAATTAGAAAGATCAAAGAAGCAAAGTATTTTTCAGTGATTCTTGATTGTACACCAGATGCAAGTCATAAAGAACAAATGACTCTGATATTGAGATGTGTAGTTGTCTCATCTTCTCCAATTAAAATACAAGATTACTTTCTATAATTTTTAAATGTTGACGATATATCAGGATTAGGACTTTTTAATGAATTATAAATTGTTTTACAATCTTTAGGACTTGATATTGATAATGTGAGGGGGCAAGGGTACGATAATGGATCTAATATGAAAGGTAAAAATCAAGGTGTGCCAAGAAGATTGCTTGATATTAATCCTAGAGCATTTTACATGCCATGTGGTTTTCATTATCTTAATTTAGTTATTTGTGATATGTCAAATTCTTGTACTCGAGCAAAATCATTTTTTGGAGCATGTCAGTGCATATATAATGTGTTTGCTAATCAACAAAGAGATGAAATATTTTGCTTGATTATATTGATAAATTAACTTTGAAATCATTGTCCATGACAAGGGGAAAGTCAAATTGAATCTGTTAAGGCAATATTGTCCCAAGTCTCCCAAATAAGAGAAGCTTTATTTAAATTAGCAGAAATTAGTGAAGATGCCAAATTAAGCAGGGATGCTTACACTTTGGCCTCTTGTGAACTTTCAAGTTTTGAGTTTATTTTGAGCTTGGTAACTTGGCATGATATATTGCATAAAATTAATTTAGTTAGCAAAAAGTTACAATCCGAGGACATGCGTCTTGATATTGCTATAAAACAATTAACTGGGCTTGTTTCTTTTTTTGAAATGAATAGAGAAAATGGATTTTCTTCTGCTATGATTGACGCTAAAAAAATAGCATCTCATATGGAAATTGAACCAATTTTTTTCGAGAAGCTATAAAACAATTTTTTTTCTAGAAAGAGACATTTTGATGAGATTTCTAATACCGAAAGGAAAAATCAATCCGCAGAAGAATCTTTTAGAATTGATTATTTTCTTCTAGTAGTGGATATTGCTATTGGTCAATTGAGAAGCAGGTTAACAAATGCAGTGTTTTGAATCAATATTTGGTTTCTTATTTGATGTTGCAAAGTTGATTTCATTGGATGGTGATGAGTTGATGAGTTCTTGTCTGAATCTTGAAAATGCTTTAAAACATGGTGATAGTTCCAATATTGATGCAAAATATTTATGCTCTGAACTATAGGTGTTGCAAGTGATGTTACCGAATGAAGCATGTGATGCAAATAAGCCATGAACATCTTTTCAAATATTTGAGTTTGTAAAAACGATTGATATGTTTCCAAATGCGATGATTGCTTATAGAATTTTTTGTTGACAATACCTGTGGCATCAGCAGAGAGAAGCTTTTCAAAATTAAAGTTATTAAAAAATTATTTACGGACTACAATGTCTCAAGAAAGGTTGAATGGGTTAGCAATTTTAACTATTGAAAAAGATATGTTGGAAAATATTGAGTACGACGATATCATTGATGACTTTGCCTCTAAAAGTGCAACTCGAAAACATTTTCAATGAATTATTTCATTTTTTTTTTGATATGCAGGTGTTTAGCTATAACATGAGGTGAT